GTGGGAAAGTCCCCACTCCCTTAATTAGCCCCTATTCCTGGCCTCGCGGTGGGGGGGCAGGGTCAGCCATGACTGCATACCTGCTCCACCCTGCTGGAGGGTTGGGGTAGGTCCTCTGAGGTGTTCAGATCTGTGGGAAATTCAGGTCCCACGTGGCTTCCTGGGTCAGGTTTATGCTTACCTCCCACAGACCCTGGGCTCAGCATGGGGCCTCACGCAGCCCTGTTTTGGGCTCAAGTTCCCCCACTCACTGTATGACCTGGGACATCTTTTCACCTCTCTGAACCTCAGTTTCCTCATCTGTAAAATGGGGGTGGGAGGATAAAAACAGGATCTACCTCCCAGAAAGGGCTTCCTAGGTGGCACTAGTGGCAAAGAACCCGCCTGCCAAAGCAGAAGACGTTAAGAGACGCAGGTTTGATCCCTGGGTCAGGAAGATCCTCTGGAGGAGGGCATGGCAACCCACTCCAGTATTCTTGCCTGGAGAATCCCATGGATAGAGGAGCCTGGTGGGCTATGGTCCATAGAGTCACAAGGAGTCGGACACAACTGAAAGCTGGTTAGCACGCAGGATTTGGCAAATCTCACAACACGTGTGACACACAGTAGGATGTCAGTATTAATGGCAGCTGGAGTAGCCAGGAGTCAGGCCTGCACCCTCCTTACTGAGGGAGCAAGACCCAGGGGGAGGCTGGGGATCCAGGACCTGGGTTTGCGACTCAGCAGGGCTGACTGGACTTTCAGAGTCCTAGAGACTGGCCCTGCCCAGGCCCCACCGGTGGCATCTGAGGACCATCATATGCCAGTGGGACAAAGGGCTACATGAGGCCCACTCCTCCAACCTTTCCTGGTTGGGAAAAGAAGCTCACCCCTGTGTTTTTGCTATGAATAACAGCTACCATTCTCTCTAGCTTACAGACCTGCCAAATAGGTATTACTGTCCCCATTGTGCAGATGAGAAAACGGGGACCCAGGGAGGTTGAGTCACTTGCCCAGAGTCACACAGCTGGTAAATGAAGGAGCCGGGATCTGAACTCAGCTCTGTCTGACCACAAAGCCTCAGCCCAAGACCAGGCTGTCTCGAGGGACTTTCGGACCTTGGTGGGAGTGGATGGAGGACCCCAACGTTGGTGGAGGGAAGAGTTAGGCCAAGCTGGGCCACGAGGCCTTCTAACGTCCTGTGGTCCTTTAAAGACCACGGGCCTTAGAGAGTCTGAGTCATGGGCCTCAGAGCTCGGCGGCTTGAGGCAAGGACAGACGGACAGGCCTAAATCTCGTGGCACAGATCTAGGTTCGAATCTCAGTTCTGGCCCTCCCTGGCCCTCTAACTCCTAAGCAAGTCATTCAAAATCTCCAGGCCTCAGTTTTCTCCTGTAAAATGGGAAGAAGCCCAAACTCTCCATGAGTGATTAGTGGAAGTCAGACAAAGCAGAGATGGCAGGGGCCTTTGGAAATAGCTTCTCATCCCCTGAGGGGCCCAGCCAGCAGCTCTTTGTGATGGCAGCTGCCCTAGGATCCCAGCCCAGGCTTCAGGAGACCCTGAGCTGGGCAAGGCCAGGGCAAGCCTAGGTCTCATTTCTGCTTCCCCTCAAGGGGAGGAAGCCACAGAGAGCCTGTTACCTTCCAGAGGGGACACAGCAGGCCTGAGACTGCACCCCATTCAGCCTCCCCCAGACCTGTCTGGACCCACCTCGTCAGTCTTCCCTGTGCAAAATGCCCCCATCAGCCTGAGCCAGGCTCCCACCCTCATTCCTGGGTGGATGGACCCTCTCCACTTCCCTTCTCTTTTCGGCCCTGGGATCTGCCCCTGGGGAGAAAACTAGCCACGTAAACATCAATTGAAATCCCACTCGAACAGCTCTCCCCCGACCCCTACCCTGTTTCTCAGGTCTTCCCCCAACCCTGACCTCAAGCCGTGTCCCCCACAAGCCAGATCATGCTGGAGGCAGAAGCTATAGGTGATCCTCCTGGCTGGCCCCTGCCTCTCTCTCCCACTTCCCTATAGGTGACCCTGACCTGTCATTTCCAACCTTCCCAGAGTTGCAACACTAGTGCCATTGTTTGTCTCATTTCACAATGCCTCTGCCTGTCCAGTACCTCCTACCCCCAACATATCCTGGAAGGACAGGCCAGATGCCCCAGGTGTGTCTGCTGTGGGAGGGGGAGGCAAAGGGGGCCGGGGATGAAGGTCTGTGGCGAGATTCCACCCTCAGGAATGACCCTGGCGAGCCGCAGACACCTTTTTTCTGGAGGCTTCAGTTTGCTCAGCTATAAAATGGGAGAGCTCCTAGATAAGCGTCTTTCTCGTTCCGGTATTTGATAACGTAAAACTACACATCAGCAGATTCACTCAGGCCTTTATTGTGGCACCTACCGCATGCTGGGAGCTGGAACTTGGAGACAGAGCTGATATGATCACAAGCCTGGGAGGGAGACAGATGTGAAATGCTGTGGTCAGAGCTGGGCCAGAGTTATGGACCAATTCTGTTGCTGGAATCAGAAGTGATTCCAGGGGAGGGGTAAGGCAGTGGCATTTGAGCTGGACTTTGAAGGATGAGTAGGAGTTTGTGGGCCTAAAGCTTCCAAACTCTGCCGTTTAACACTTGGACTGCCTCAAAAGTTAGGGAGTACCCTAAGAGCATCCCAAGAGTTTGGTGTCCCTTAGTGAAGGCCCAGCCCAGCCCTCACGGGGGCCAGGGGACAGGCAGGACTTCGGACAGCCAAGCGGAAGAGTGTGGGCCCTCAGGCAGCCTGTGTCTCTGGCCTTCATGTGTAGGGAGCCCTGGGCTTGTAGTCCTCAGGCTTGGAGCAGGGGTTCCGTCTGCCCCCTTCCCACCTGAGGGACCTTGCCCTGGCCACTGCAATGCCTCGGGGCCACACAGGTTCCCCATCTGTAATATGGGTGCTCTCTCCAGCATACTTGTGAGAAGCAAGCGATTTACTGTTTTGCAGGTGGCCTCTGCAAGCTAAAATGCACTGGACACGGGAGAGATTATCCTTTCTGGACGGTGGCTCGTAAGTGGGCCCTTGCGGGGCTGTTTGTTTTGTAATCACAGGGAGAGAGCTATGCCCCCAGTCATCTCACAGTCATAAAGGTGGGATTCCTGGCCCAGACACCGTTGTTCCCACCGGACGGGAGCTGAAGTGGGCCTCTCCCCTCTGCCGTTCTGTGCTCGCCCTCACCCCAGCGCCTCCAACACTTGTACTTGGCCCCGTGTTGGGGGGCAGAGGCTTCCCCTCCCTGGGCCCTGGAGAAGGGGGTACTCCTGGTATGGCCCCTCCGGAAGTAGAGTATGTGAGTCTGAGTGGAGGGGTAGGGGGACCGGAGGAGTACCCCCATCAGCACCCATCAAGAAGGGGCCGAGATGGGAGGTCCCTGTCTCAGCCTCCCTGAGCGGCGTCCAGGGCTGCTCCTTCCGAACGCAGCCTGGTGCCTCCTCCGCCAGCCCCAGGGGAGCCCAGGCCACCCCAAGCATAGCACCCTCAGCTTCTCACCAGCCTCCCTGCATCTCACTCGGCCTGGCCCAGCGGCAGAAGGGGACCCCAGGCACGGCTGAGGCGATGAAGGGCAAGGGGTTATCTGCGTGGCCGCTGGTGCTCCCGGCTCTCTGCCTCTCACGGCCCCTCTGCCTGGGCCGGGTTCTGATTTTGGTGCAGTGCAGACTTTCAGCTTAACGAGACAAATTGATATTCTGTGCCAGCCCAGGGATGGAGCGGCAGCTTGGGACGCTCGGGCGGGCAGAAGTGGGCTGGGAGTGGGGGCAGGGGAAAGAGGCAGCTGGAGTCTGGAGCAGCCTCCTGGGGCAGCCCCAGCCCTCACCCTGCCCCTACAGCATCCCTGCCACATGGACAGGTGCCCCAAGACACTGTCCTGAAGGTCCTTCCGCCTTCAGTGCCCTCCTGCCAAGCAGGGCGCCCCTGCTGGAGGGGGCAGGCTGGTGGAGGGGGAGGCTCCAGAATCTAAGAGAGGCCCCTGCACGCACTGTGACCTCCTACCCTTGCTCCTAGGGCTGGCCTCCCCACCCATCAGGAGGTAAGGGGCAGCAGGTCTGCAGAGAAGAGGTGGGAAGAAGCTGGCAACTGGCTGGGGGAATCCCATTCCTGCAGACTCCTTGTTGGGGGTCCTCTGGACACCATCAGCCCCCCAGCTCATCACAGAGATGTCCCTGCAAATTCTGGAGAGGTGCAAGGCATGTGCAGCCCTTTGCCAGGGGGCACTTGTGAGTGGAGAAATGGTCCCTGGAGAGAGTCCTCTGCAGACAAGCAGCCCCAAGGCAGGTCTGGGTGCGCCCAGCCTGGCAGTGGGGCTGTGGGGGTCCAGGGGCTGTGTTCCCATGGCAGCAGGGAGCTCACTGCCAGCCTGATTCCATTCGTTCTAAGACCACAGTTGTGTTTAGTCTGTGTTGAGTCCACCTGCTCCCCATGTGACCTTTGACCCCAAGGTCTGGGGTGTCCTGCTCAAAAAGAGGGGGCACCAGAGCCTCTGCCTAGCTGAATGGGTCCCTCCGAAAGTAAGGGAAAGTAGGGCCATATGGGCAAAATCCTCCCCTCTCTCTCAGTCCCCCCCCGCACCTCCGCCACTCACCCGAAGGACCCCCTCCCCTCCAGCAGCCCCGAGCCTACCCTCACTACGCCCTTGACATTCCCTCCTGCTTGGGGGAGCGGGCATATTTCTGGGACTCCGCCAGCTTCAGTTCCTCATGATCCCACGGGGAGGAATTAAAACCGCAAACAACACCGTGCTGGTGGTGGTGGTTCGGTCCACGCACCGCCGCCCCCCACCCGCCTCCCCCAACCCCCCCAGCCCCCCCATCAGGACGCGCCCTCCCCGCGCCCCTCCCTCGTCCTCCTGTGCCCCCTCCCCCAGCCTGGGCGGCAGCGCGGCGACAGGGGCGGCCTCCACCTCCCCCGAGATCTTGCATTTTGCCGGCGAGATGCTCTCCTAGAAGCCGGCGCCGGCGCCTTCCCACCCCCCCGCCCCCCCCCACCTGCTCGGGCAGGATGGTACAGTCTGCAGAGGGACCCGGGCACGCCGGCTGGGCTCAGCCGCGGGACCAGCTGCCGCACCGCGATTCCGGTGCTGCCCGCCTGGAAACCGTGCCGGATTTGTGGCGATTTTCGTAGCCAAGTAAGTACCGGCATACCCCAGCATGAGAAATAAAAAATAAAAAGCGCCCCATTTCGCTCTCCCCTTCCTCCCTCATCCATTTTATTTTGTTTCATTTCATTTAAATTTTTTTCAGTGCTGATGCTGGTGGCGGTGGCAGCGTTGGTGGGGGGTGGGGGGTGGGTAGGAGCCGGCTTGTTTATCCCACAGCAGCTCAGGCTGCACTGGGAGCCGGCCCGCTGAGGGAGGTACTAGTGTGAGGGTCCATGTGTTGTGGGGGGAGGGCTGGGGTGCTGGGGACATGGGCAGGGGGGCCTCGGACAGGCGGATGCCCGGGATCTCAGGCAGATTCCGGCCGCCTCTGGGCAGCAAATGCACCTAATGGATGTTACGCAAGGGCCGGCCGGCGGCAGTGGGGAGCAAGGTTCTTTTCTTCTGAGCTTGTCCCAGGGAGACGCAGAGGACCAGAGGGTGCCCCCTGCCCGCCGCGGCCAGAGTCCCAGGAAAGAAGCAGAGGGAGGCCCCCGTGGAGAGTCCCCTTGGTGGGGTGGGCTCCTGCGAAGTGCCAGGGAGCCCCCCTACCCGGGTCTGGCCAGCCGGGCGTGTGGTGGCAGGGGCAAGTCCCCCGGGTTCCTGAAACGGCCTGGAGGGGAGCAGGAGTGGGATGGCCAGCCGTTTTGCAGCAGTCATGCTGGGTGGTGGAGTTGGCACTTTCGTCCCAAAGCCCCGGTCAGCCTTGGTGGCCTCTGGCTGAGCCCTAGGCATCTGGCAGGGGGGCTCCTCCCTGCCCCCAGGCCAGGTCAAGGTTGGGAAATCCAGCAGGGGGCCTCTGCACGCCCCAAGGATGAGCTGCCGTGGGCAGCCACCCGTTCTAGCCCAGTGGCCGGTCCACGCCACGGCTGTCCTCTGCTCACCCAGGTCGTGTGGGGAGGGGTCGGCCCAGCCTGGCTCGACCTTCAGAAGGGTAAGTGAGCAGGCGGGCTCGACCAGCAGAGGGTCTCGGTGGGACGCTGAAGGCCCCTTGTCCAGCACGGAGCAGGCTCCTCTCCTTGCCTGCATTGCTCTCCAGGTCGCTGGGAGGAGGCAGAGCTGACGTTTGGGGCATCTCCAGGAGCGGCGGGCGCCATCCGGAGAAATTCTCCTTTGACGTGTGCGGGAGGAGGGGGCTTGGAGCACGGGCCCCGGGGCCCTCCGCCTATTAACTTCTCTGGAGGAGCAGAGGCAGGGAGGGGGCTGCGTCTCTGGGGGAACCCTGCAGGTGAGGGAGGGGGTGTCCAGGATTGAGGCCGGTGGCCCATATTATTCAGCCACCTTCGTACTCCCCCCAGTCCCATTCTCATCAGGGCACACATACATCCACAGATCCGCACAGATGCACATATACAAATATAGTACGCAGAGTAGTGCATCGTATGTGTTCAAATTATACACACACATATGGCGTGCCAGTGCCCCTAGATACACCCCAGCTCATGTGAATACAGTTCACAGCCCTGAATACCACCTGCTCACCTGCAGAATACAGCATGTACATGACTGCAGCATGCATGTGCTTGCACACACACACACACACACACACACACACACACTCACACCTGTGAGGACAGCGTCCCCTCACATGCATGCAAGTAGCACCAACACAGAAATGCCGTAGGCTGGCCATGGGTGAATCGGCCTGCACGCTGTGAGGCCCCATAGCAGCTGTGTCTGTGGCTTGTGCCCCGGTGAGGGCTGGCCCCTGTGAAAGTGACAGGCACACACATGTGGCATCCTGAGTGCCATCTGCATGCCTGTCCTTGCGTTGGCAGGTGCAGGGCCTGCTGGAATGTGCCCACAGGTGAATGTGGGTTGCACGGGTTCTAAGATGGCCCAGGCAGAGATGTAGCACACACTCGCCCCTCAACAGCCAGGCGTCCTTCATGGGAGTGCAGGTACCTCCCGGGGTGCTGGGGAGAGGATCACCCCTCAGGGGACTGCCTGTGGGGACAGAGGGACACCTGCTGCCACAGGTCTGAGGGGAGGGCCAGCCCACATTCCCAGGAAGCTGTGCTTATGCTCAGCAAGGCCATCTTGGGTTCTTGGCACTCTGCAGAAGTGCCTAGAATTGGAAAGAAAACAGAGGAGGTGGCAGGGGTGGTCTATGCCCATGACCCAGACCACCAGGAGCCCAGACTAGCCCCGCCACCCCCTTCTCTGGGTACCTGAAAACCGGCACACTGCTGTGGGGTCTTTGAGAGCTGGGGCGTGGGACGCCTCCAGCAGCCTCCAAAGTTCTCTTCAAACCGAAAGTCAGAAAAGCTGACCCCCTCTGGAGTGGCTGGCCCCCTCCCTCTGTTTTCTCACTGACTGCCCCCACCCCCCGCCCCCCGTCTCTCTCTGCCCAGGACAGGTGCGGGTCAAGGACACCAGGGTAGATGATAATAAGCCTGCTAGCCTTCACTCAACTAATGACTCCATGGTTGGCACTTCAGTGAGGCCTCCTGTAGCCTTATTATCCTCACATCCCAGATGAAGAAGCTGCACAGAGAAGTGAAGGCACTTACCTAAGGTCACACAGCCGGAATGAGGCAGAGATGGGGGGTAGGCTAAGCCGCCAGGCTCCCCTCCTCCTCTCCCCTCCTGTGCAAGGCCAGCTCCAATTTGGAGTACCAACCTCTTGAGTGCCAGCTAGCCAAGATCTTAGGATCTGGGAGTGAGGCTCCAAGAAAGGGTCCAGAGTGTCTCCTGTGAGTGAAGGCAGAGCCCTCCCCAGGCAAGTGTGGCCCTGTCCTGGGCACCCGGATACCTCTGCCACCCCACGACCCCATAGAATTGATACCTAAGCCCAGCCAGGGGAAGGGACTTGTCCAAGATCATACTGTGCTCAGTGGAGAGTGGGGAGTCTTGCCAGCCCCGCTCTGGTCCCAGGCACCCAGCAGCAGAGGCCTGTTTGGGTCCCTGGTTTCCCCCAGATGTTTGAGTCTCAGGCAAAAGGCTGCCCACGCCAGGCCCAGGCTCTGCCCCCGGGCAGCTGTGTGACCTTGGGCAAGTCGCTCTGTCTCGGCATCTCCGTGTCCTCACCTGTGGCCAGGGCAGACCTGTCCCTGCCCTGCCGGGCCTGCGGCTGGCCGGGGCCCTGAACTGCTGTGGAGGGCTGTGTACAGAGCCATGCCTGGAGCCAGGGCCAGGAGCCGGGGCAGCAGAGCACCTTGCTGCTGTGATCGGCCAAGGTCAGGAGCGGAGGCAAGGATGGGAACCTAAAGAATCACCTGTGGCGGCAGATCTTTGGGTCCCGCAGTACGTCAGGAGGTCCTGGTGACTGCCTCTTCATTGGAGCCCCCGCGTTCTCATCTCTACAGCTCTAAGTCCCCAGGGGAAGCCGAGAGGCGTGAGAATGAGCTTTTGGAGCTCACAGAGTCTCGGAGCTGGCGGTGCCTGCCATCAGGCGGCTCCCTGGCCACCACCGCCTCTCGGGAAACTGGGGGTGCCTGGCAAGTTGGTGGCAGAAGGAGACTGAACCTTGGCTCTCCAGCCCTCCAGTCCTCCGCCCAACCCCCAGCCCCTGACATCCACGCGCAGTTAAATCAGGCCTTTCTGGGAGCCGGGCAAGCTTCAGGTCCCATGTGGCTGGGAGGAGGGCTCCAAGGAGACTCCCTGGGCCTTGGCCATGAGCCCTGGGGATGCCTCACCCCAGCCATGTCCTGACAGTGGTGACGAGGCTCCTCTCTCTAACTTCACTCTGCCCTTCTCTAGAACAGAGATAGTTTTAAAGTAGGGCTGCTTAACTCAGGGCTTCCCGGGTGGCTCAGAGGTAGAGAACCCGCCTGCAAGTGCAGGACACGGGGGTTCAATCCCTGGGTCGGAAAGATCCCCTGGAGGAGGAAATGGCAACCCACTCCAGTATTCCTGCCCAGAGAATCCCATGGACAGAGGAGCCTGCCGGTCTGCAGTCCATGGGGTGGCAAAGAGTTGGACTCGACTGAGCACGCACGGTTTATCCAGGTTAATATTAAGAAGCAGCTGGCACGTAGTAGGTGCACGGTCAAGGCTGGGGCCGTGGGGGAGCCTGGGCTACAGAATGTGGCTCCTCTCAGCCTCTTTAGTTCCCAAAGGGCTGCAGTAGAGGTGTCTGGGGTGCAGGATCTGGGTGCCACATGCACACACACCGGATGCAGGGGGTGGACAGGCGCCTCCCCCAGCCCTGCCTGGAGCACACGGTGCAGAGTAGGAGGCAGGGGTGGGTCTCATGCCCGGAATCTCGGCCCCCACCCCCCACCAGCCCATCCTGCTCTCTCCAAAGTCTGAGCACTGAACCTGCGGCAATTCATCCCTCCCTCCCTGTAGGAGCCTGAAACAAAATATTTAGGGAGAATGTTCTCCTGGGTGGAGACAACTGGGTGTCTGACTTTACCCCTCCTTGAGAGGCTTTCCTGGTGGTTCAGAGGGCAAAGCATCTGCCTACAATGCAGGAGACCCGGGTCCAATCCCTGGAGAAGGGAATGGCAACCCACTCCAGTACTCTTGCCTGGAAAACCCCCTGGATGGAGGAGGCTGGTAGGCTATTGTCCGTGGGGTCGCAAAGAGTCGGACACAACTGAGCGACTTCACTTTGTCACTTTTTGAGAGCTGAAAGTAGATGGAGATGGTGTGTCCTGGCATTCCAAGTGGGTGGGTGACCGCCATTGCACAGTTCACCCATCTGTGGAATGGATGACAATGGTACCCACGTCCCAGGCTGTGGTAAAGAGCGAGTGAAAGAGTGTTGGGCTCAAGATGTGGCTTGTATTCATGGCTTAGTGAATGGAAATTGTGGAGATGGAGAACTATTGTGAGCGTAAAACCTACATCCGCTGCTTTCGAGTGCCCTTCTGTTAGCCCTGCTGCCTCTTGGATCCTTGATTTTGGACCTGTAAAGTGGGACTGTGTTTCTCAGTCTGCCCACTCACAGGACTGCAGGGTGACAACAGTTAAAAAATAAGTGATTTCCTGGTGACGTGCTGAGGGCTTCACCCTGCCCTCCAGCCCTCGGAAGCATCTTGCACAACTCAGGAAGCATCTACAAGGTTCCATGCAGGGCGAGATGGCTGGGCCAGATACGGTCAGGGGAAGGCACACCAGGACTGGGGTCCCTGAGGCTACAGAGGTCCTTGGGTGTGGGGTAAACGACCTTGGTCTGAGGATTGAGTGACCGGGTTTCTAGGCCCACCTCTGGCATGGATCGGTGACCTTGGGCAAGTTGTGACGGCACCCTGGTCCCATGCTCCCCTCTGGAAGATGGGGACCATGATCCCGCCCACTTCATGTCCTCAGTGGGAGCAGATTCTCCTGCCAGCCGACCCTTGGGGTGAAGAGGCTGAGCCAGGGCAAGTCGGAGGTGTGACCAACCGCAGCAGTTACAACTGCTGTGTGTGTTTGCTGTGGCCAACATTGCAAATGACCACAAACTGTTTAATGGCTTAAAACAATAAAAGTTATCTTCTCACAGTTCTGGAGGCTGTAAGTTTGAAATCAAGGTGTTGGAAGGGCCAGTTCCCCCAAGAGGCCCCGAGGGAAGCGATACAAGGCGGTCCTTGGCTTATAGCCGCATCTCTCCCTCTCAAATCCATCCTCATCTCACCCTGTGTCCTCTCCTCTTTTTATCTCCTCTTTATAGTCATTGAATACAGGGCCCACCCTAAATCCAGGATGACTGAGATCTTTAACTAATTACAGATACAAAGACCCCCTTTCCAAATAAGGGCCCCTTCTGAGGTGCTGAGTGGGCTTGAGTTTGGGTAGACACAATGCAACCCGTTGCGTTTCATGGATGGAGTCAGCTCTGTACCAGCAGGTGCACAGCCCACAAGTACAGAGGGCCTCTGGAAGGGACTTGAGTGTCCCGAGTCCCTGTGTTTGCTGGGGGCCTTGGGATGACTGTGTTTGTTGACCATCGACTGCTGCGTGTGTGTTAGTCACTCAGTTGTCTCTGACTCTTTGTGACCCCATGGACCGTAGCCCACCAGGCTCCTCTGTCCATGAGATTCTCCAGGCAAGAATACTAGAGTGGGTCGCCATTTCCTTCTCCAGGGGAATCTTCCCAACCCAGGAATCGAACCTAGGTCTGCATTTCAGGCAGATGCTTTACCATCTGAGCTACTAGAAAGCCTCTTTACTGCCAGTGAATCCAATGCACATGGCTACGTTTCCTCACTGTCACCCATTTTACAGACAAAGAGACTGAGGCCCGGGGAGTTCAGAAGTGCCCAAGTCACGCAGCAAATGAGGGGCAGAGCTGAGAATGTACCCAGGTCTCCAGTGCACTTTCTCCCTGGCACAGCTGCTGAACGGGGGCTCCACATACCCAGGAACCCACAGGGCAAGACCTCCAGCCAGCCCTGTGTTCACCCAGAGCCTGCACGGCCCTGGGGAGAGAAGAGCTGATGGTGGGCAGGGTAGCTGGGGGCGTGGGTGAGCCCTGCTGGCCCCCAAAGACCAGTGCGGGGCAGAAGGCTGAGAGCCCACAGTCCCTTCCAATCTGCCAGGACTCTCGGTGAACCTCAGTGTTCTCTTCTGGAGAATGGGACAACAGCCACTCAGTTTGTGGGATCATAGCCAAGTTCTAAAATGCTAATCCTAATAGTCATTTCTAATAGTTAAAGTATATCCTCAAGCACTTTACAAATATTTTTTAACTTAATGTGTGGGAGGGTAATTGCTTAATCCAAGCCATATGCTAACAAGTGGCTCCACCGTGAAATAGCTGTGCGTGGTTGAACCAGTGACTTAACCCCAGTTTACTCCTCCATTAAGTGGGGGTAACATCAGTAGCCACCTTCTCAGTTGTTGTGAGAGGCAAGTGGGTTTCAAATCAAGTGCCTGCCTGGGGTTGTATTGCAGTTGAGGGCCCAGAGGATGTTTCTTCATCTGTAAGATGGGGAGTAATAAAAGTGTTGTTGTTATTATTATACTATTGCTTGTGGGAGAATTTGGTGAAGTAATGCAAAGAAGCACTCAGCTCAGGGCCTGCCCAGAGGTCAATGTTAAAGTAATCTCCTCTTGTGCGATCAGCTAGGCTTGAATTGAAATCCCAATGCCAGCGTTTACTGTTGTGTGACCTTGAGTCACTAGCTTTGCCTCTCTGAGCTTGAAGAACCCTGTCTCACAAACATATCTGTGCATGATGTGATGGACAGAAAACTGTCAAAAGTGAAGCCCCTACCACATCAGATGTTTGAAAGATGTTGCATTTCTGTCCTGCTTTTGGGGGATGGCCCCCAGGGGACTTTCTTGCAGATATCTGCAGAAGGGGCAAATCCTGGTCCCAGGGCTGGAGTGGATTTGATTTTCAAAGACCGAGAGACGTCGTGCTATAGTGAAGCGTGGGCTTGGAAAAGCTTGTGGGAGAAAGCCGTGATGGGATGACGCTGTTTGGGGTCCAGGAGCCTTGTCACTCCCGGGGAAGGAAGCAGGTCTCTCCAGGCTTCTCCTGCCACCGCAAGGGAAGTTGTCTACAAAGGTCTGGCCTTCTCCATGCCAGCCCAGGCCGCTTCACCCATCCACACCTGGCTGCCCGGGGGCCGCACTGCAGGAGCTGTGGACAGTTTGGTCCAGAGGCATCGCTGCAGCCTGGCCTCCCTAGACTGAGTGCCGGCTCCAGGGTAGCTTGGGAGCTGAGCTGCCACCACTTGCGGTCGAGGCCGGGCAGGGCTAGAGGGTCCTGGGAAGGCTGTTTGGGAAACAGGGGGCTCTGGGCTCCAGCTGACTGAGTCTCCTCCTCGACCTGATGGGAGAGGGGGCAGGGGGAGGTCCCACATGGCCTGGCTGAGCGGCGATGTGGACGGTTCAGGACCAAGTGTGGGCCCAGCTGGCCCAGCCTCAGACCTGAGGCCCAGGTGCCAACCAACTGTGTGCCCTTCACCTCTGGGCCCCAGTTCCCTCAGCTCTCAAATGGGGGCAGCGCCTCCCCTTGTAGGGCATGGTGGTGAAAGCTGAGTCTCATGGGGATGGCGTGATGCACATTTTGACATCTCTGAATCAGGGCACGCAGTAGACCCAGCCATGCCTCCTCTCTCTTTCTAAAGTGTACATAAAGTAGCGATGCTTCTTCCAGCAGATGCATCTTAGCTTCAGTGAAATACAGTAAATAAGGTAATAACCTATGAAGGACTTGGACAGGGCCACCAGGCTGGGAGAACAGAGCCGTCTCCCACCTGCATGCACAGCTCAGTCACAGTGGAATCTTGGGCGTTTCTGTGCATCTCACGGGAGCCCTCACTTCCTCTTCTGAAATGATTCCAGCCTCCCAGAGTTGTCGTGAGAAGTTAGCAAGCTCCTGAGTGTATCACATGCCCAGCAGAGTACCTGTATGCAGTAGGTGCCTAATAATTGCCAGTTCAAAGCAAACAGCGAAGATGGTAGTACAGGGAGGAGTTTAAAGCCCAGACTCTAGGATTTCAACTCCTGCTCCACCACTTCCGGACTGTGTGACTTTGTGCCAGCTTCATAGCTTCTCTGTGCCTTAGTCCCACCATCTTAAAATGGATGTAACGGAAGTATCCAATTCATCCGATTGCTGTGAGAAGTAAATAGAATTAAAGTGCCTGGGGGCAGTGCTTGATGGAAGTGTAAGCAATTATTATTTAAGGAGCTTCTAATGAGTCTCTTCTAGTTCTGTAAATGGTAGGGAAAATGGACATGGGACTCAATAAAATAATAGCAGGACAGACTGCACCCATTTTACAGATGAAACGGCTGAGGCCCAAGTGTTACATCAGTTTGCCCAAGGTCACACAGCTGGCCTTCCCCAGAGCAGGAGCCTGACCCCAGCTCCAGGCTCCAGTCTGATGTCTCCTCCTGGCCCGTGTCAGTCTGGGACTCTGTGATTCTCACGGAGAACGAGGTTCTTGCCTGGGGGAGGATGGGTTTCAAGAAGAAACAGCAGCCAGATGCAGTGTCTTCCAGGTTGGGGTTTCTTCCTCCTTTATGCCTCTGCCTGTTCCCCATGGTGCAGGGGAAGGGGCTGAACTGGGCCAAGCCCAAGGTCCGCAGAGCCTGCCACCCCCGTCACCCCGCGGGTCTCCCTACCAGCCCTTCTGGCCTCCAGGCGCCTTCTCAGGGACCACTGTAGAGTTGCCGCAGCAGAGCTCCCTCCTGGAGAGAGCTAAAGCCCCGCTGGCCAGCTGGTCCAGATGCCGAGCTGTGCCAGGGTCACAGAATAGATTGGGATGGAAGAGGGTGAGCAGAGACCGGGGTGCAGCTGGGCCTTGACAGACACTCCAGGTAACCTTGGACTTGTCATGATCCCTCCTGGGCACAAAGTTTCCCATCTTTGAAATGAGAACTTTGGAGCCAGATGGGCGCCCTGGGACTTGAAAGGTCTAAGATTCGAAATTTCCCTGACGTTGCTGATAGTCAAGGTCACAGGGAAGGGCCGGGGCTGGAAGAGAAGGAGCTTGTGGCTCTGTATGCACCTCCTTGGGGATCTGAGGTTGGGCTTCCTGGGAGCAAGCCCGAGACAGCAGTCACTCCTATTCAGCTCAGGATGATTCCAGAGGAGGAGGCAGGCCGAAGGTCTAACAGCCCAGCAACTGGGGTGCAGGTGCTATAGGCTGGGGAGCAGGGTCTGCTGGCGGCGGGGGCGGGGGCACCAACCAAGGCCCTGCAGTCCTGTGTATTTGCAATGCAGAGGTAGCTGAGAACCAGCCTCTTCCTAGCAACTATCTGAAGTCAGGAGATTAAGAGCTCTTTAGGCCACTTCTAAATTTATCAACTTACATGACTCACTTCAGATTAAAACGAGGCGCTTCTCCCCACTCCCACCCCCAGCCAATTTCAAGTTTCCAAGCTCCGAGGGAGGATCTTGAAAAGAGAAGAGAACAGAAATCAATAAAACCAGTATTGGCTGAGGACTTGGCGTGTGTCAGGCCGGGTGCAGCCCCAGGTAGAAGGCAGTAGGTGAGAGCAGATGCCTGCTGTTGGCTGGACCATGAGTATCTTCTGTGCCCAAGGTGTGGCCTCGCCAACTATGGTCCTTGCACCTCACTGGGCCTCAGTTTCCTCATCTATGAAATGGGGCCAGTGTTGGGAGGAGCCATGGCCGTAGCCACCGCACACTCAGTCAGTGGGAGTAGAATGAAGACTGACTGGGGGTTGGGGTCCGAGCTGGTTGTGGGTGTTTCTTTGCCCTTTTGGAGGCCGGGGTCTGTCCAGACATCTGCAGGCAGAGGGATTTCCAACAGCCTCCCTCATCCTGGGACCTCCAGAAGCTTCTCCAGGAATTTCTGAGCTCCAGGGTCAGAGCTGGACAGTGGGACCATGGCAGGTAAAGGTGAACGGAGGCTGGTGCTGACCAGTGGCCTGAGAGCTTTCCCCTGGGGACCTCCTCCAGCCTCAGCGCAGCCCCCATGGTAACCAGATGACCGGTAACAGCGTCATTAACCAAGGGCTTCTGGGCGCAGCACGGTCCGCGCGTGTGTCCCTTCACCCGTCGTGGCCGCGACTGGACCCCTTTACAGAGGAGGACACCCAGGCTGGGGGAAGTGTGGCAGCCCCAGCCAGCTCTCCCAGCTGAGAAGGGCGCCCCTGGGAGGAAGCCAGTCCCCCGCCCCCATCATCCTACTGTGTGCATTGGACTCAGGGGGGACCGAGGCCCAGAGCAGAGTCGCCCAAGGTTGCCCAGTGAAAGCCAGAACGCCAGGACTCTGTCCATGGTACTGGCCACCACCCCCAAAGCTCATAAAACCCTCCAGGGGAAAGGGTGAGGCCTCGGGCCAGACATCAAGCCAGGAACCAGGTCATTTACACACAACCTGTGTGCCCAGCGCAGCTGCCCCCTGGCACAGAGGATGCTCAGGAGGCCCTGCACGCTGACACCTCGGCAGTGCCAGGCCTGGACCCCAGGAGTCGAGCACGGCCTGCTCTTCGCTCTCAGCCCCAGAGACACCCGGGCGACCCTGGTAGGGTTGGAGCTGTGCTGGGTCCACCTTTGGCTGAGAGTGGTGACTGCTTTTCTAAAGTGCCTGCTGGGCACTTAAGGGGCCTGCATTTCAGACCCCAGCTTTGCTGCTCACAGGCTGTGTCCCCCAGGTGGGTTGTTCCTTTCTGAGCCTCGTGGTTTTCACCTCTGAAACAGGGAAGTGACCACAGCCATCGTGGAGATGAGGGTAGGCATGAGTCACAGGCGCCGTGCATCTCCTGCTGGGTGCCTCCTCGCTCACGGGGGTATCACCCTGGCTCGAAACACGCGGTTCTCCTGTCCATCTTGTGAGGAAGGCATTCTCGTCCTCGCTTTGCAGACTAGACCGAGGTATCCCTCAGAGATGCCCAGGGACCCACTCTGGTCTCACAGGTCAGCAACAGAGCCATGAGCGGGAGCTGGGCACTTCTTGTGCTTTGAGGGGCACGTTGGCGTTTCCTCAGGGCCTCAGCAGGCAGTCAGGGGCATTGTGTGAGGGTTTTCTCTGCCCCAGTGTAGGGTTGTGGGATCCTAGGTGGTGGAGACAGCCACAGGCAGTGGTTAGGAGTGGACTCTTGGAGTCTGAGAGCATGGGCTTGCTTCCCAGCCCGAGTGCTTCCTCACTGTGTGATCTTGAGCAAGTGACTTAACCTCTCTGTGCCTCAGTCACCTTCCTTGCAAACCAGAGAGCATTGTAGCGCCAACTTTCCTAGAGTCTTTCTGCTGGTTCAGTGAGTTAACAGATATAAAGAGCTTAGAACAGTGCCTGACTCTTAGGAAGCTCTATAAAGTGTCAGCTATTTATTATTATTAGTCATATCCTCAGAATGGGACGGGGGAGCCAGGCTTTGCCCTCTCTCCCTGTCTTGCTTCCAGCCTCCTCCCTGGCCCCGCACGGCCACCAGGGGGCCCTGCTCAGAACGTCCATCTGGCCAGCCACTCTCTGGGCAAGGGCTCAGTGCTCCCTGTTGCCAAGCAGACGGAGCTCAGACTCTTTGGCCCCTGTTCAGCGCTGCCGTGAATTATCCCCCATCTGCCCTTCCAGCACCTCCCTCCAGCTTCACCTTCTTCCCACTCCTCCCGCCTCAGTTAGTTATTTCATCCACTAAGTACTCGAGTCACTCAATACAGATAGGAGTACAGCTCCTGTTCACACCAACCTTTCCCCACCTCTGAGCCTTTGCCTGGATGGTGTCCATCCCTGAACACCCTTCAGCCATGCTTCAAGGCCTCCTGAGATGCAGGAAGACTTCCTGCCTGTCCGTTTGTTGTACGCTCCTCCTGTAAGCTCCTGGACCTCTGGGGTCAGGCCCCAGCTAATGAGTCTTGTTTGTTTCCATTTGTGTGTTTGTCTGAAATTTCGTCAGAACGTTGTTGAATAAACACGTGTGGAAGGGTGACCTGCCTCACTGGTCCCCCGTATCCTCTCTTGCTCCCCCCCACCTCCCCAAATCATCTGTTCTCCCTAAGTGGCCAGATGGACCCTTTTAATGATACCGACCAGATTGTGGTGCTTTCTGCTTCAGTCTCTGCAGTCCTCCACCATGCTGCACAGGATGAAGCACAGACTCCTCCCACGGGCTGTGGGCCCATCATCACATCCCTCGCTCCTCACGTGTCTCCTCTAGCTCACTGGCCGTTTTTCCAGTCCTCAAACTCATCAGCCTCTTTCCCGCCTCAGGGCCTTTGCACATGTTTCCCCGATCTACTCTGCTCATCCCCCTTCTCTTTCTATTATAGGCTCCATCTCATGGGCCCCCCCACCCACTGAGGTCCTCCCTGACTATTAAAGGGGGCTTTCCCTGTCACGGCCCTTGTCTTTTAATAGCATTTGTCACAATTCGTAGTCTTTTCAGTGTTTATTCTCTTGTTTGTTGTCTGTCTCCCCCGCCGCAGACGGGAAGTGCGTCCATCCCATTCCGTGGCGGAGGGTTTCTGTTTCGATCAGCTGTTTCGAAGGGGAAAGCAGTGTCCTTACTTAGCTTCATTCTTGACCCTCTATATACTAGACGGGGAGACATGATTGTGGGGGTTGCCTGGGAACCTCATGCTCACCCTACCTGCCTTTAGTAGATGGAACAGGGACGGGGCGGGGAGAGAGAGAGAGAGAGGTGCAGCCCCAAACGAGACAAATGCAATGAGTGGCCTCCTTCTGTTTGCGTTCTGGCTGGAGAGAGGGCAGTAAACAGACCGCCAGGTCTTTGAATGATCTGACGCCAGGTAGCAGTGATGCAGTGAGGCGGACTTAGCAGAGGACGGTGCGGGAGGAAGAGCCCCCGGCTGCCCCGCTCTCTGAGAAACTAGGCTTTGTCGCGTTGTTTGTGGCTCCACTGTGTACGTTCAGACTTGAAGAGCCTTTAATGATGGGTTTGGGGGCCAGGCCTTAATAAAGGGAAATTTCTGCTGATTAGACCCGCCTAGGACAAGCTCTGGAAAGTGCATGCCTGACACTCACCTGTCCCCTCCCAACCGTCTCCCCCAGCAGGGAGCCCGGAGCTGCCAATTAATGTGTCCCCAACCCATGAGGTGCCCGGAAAAGAAACCAGGCGGCAACCGCTCCAAAAACCAATTTCCTCTTTTTAAACTGCAGTCATTTGCATTACAAAAATAATGGTTTGCTTACTGAAACAGACAGAATGATACAGAAGGGTCTGTGTCTACACATCCCACAGTCACCAGATGTAACCACTGACCATACCCTGTTTTGTAGCTTTTAGGATGCATAGTTTCACAGCCCTGAGAAAGGGATGCGTGTTGTACATATGGAATTGATAACGCATTATAGTTTTGTTGCTGTTTTTCAAGTATAGTTGATTTACCATATTGTGCTGGTTTCAGGTATACACCATAACCTGCAGAAACAAAAAGAAACAAAAAAAGCCTGAATCATGGTATAGTTTTATGCTGGAAGTTCTTTTCCTTTCTTTGTTGCTGTTTAGTCACTAAGTCCCATCCAACTCTTTGTGACCCTATGGACTATAGCCCTCCGGGCACCTCTGTCCGTGGGATTCTCCAGGCAAGAATACTGCAGTGAGGTGGCATTTCCTTCTCCAGAGGGATCTTCCCAGTCCAGGTATTGAACCTGCCTCTCCTGCATTAGCAGGTGGATTCTTTACTGCTGAGCTGCCTGAGAAGCCCTCTTTACTAGTACATGAGATTGTGGTCCAGCTTACAGTTTGACTTGACTTGTGTGTGTATGCGCAGTCGTTCCGTCTATCTAACTCTTTGCGACCCTATGGACTATAGCCCTCCAGGCTCTTCTGTCCGTGGGATTCTCCAGGCAAGGATATTGGAGTGGGTTGCCATGTCCTCCTCCCTGCCCCAAGGATCGAACCTGCATCTCCTGCACTGGCAGGCAGATTCTTCACTGCTGAGTCACCTGGGAAGCCGCCCCCCCCCTTAGTGGTACCTAAGATTGGGGTGCACCTTACAGTTTGACTTAGGCTTAAGGAAATCTGGCAGTTTGCTATTTCCCTCACGTGCTTAGATATTCACATACTGGTAGATCTAAATTCGGACGGAGTTTGCTTCTTTTCTTTGGAATCAGTTTGTTTGCACTGTGGCTTTGCTGTGTCCCTTAGGGCGCTGTGGCCATCCTGGTGGCCGGGCAGTCTCTGAAGGGCACAGAGGCTAGTGCAGGTGACAGGGGCTTGGCAGCTGCTAGCCCTGCCACCCACCCGCTGTGGTGCATCGTCTCTGTGCCCCCAGCGCCTCACATGCGCAGTGCCCAGCACAAGCTGGCCCCAAACGTGCGCCCGGGGTTCGTGCTCCCCCCTCCCCTTCCCCCTTGATGTGGACAGTCTGGACTGGCATCGTCACCCCTGCCCCAACCAGAGACATGGTTGCCCTGAGACCCAGAGGAGGAGCAGGGAGCCTGAGCTCAAATAAAAAGGTTGGATGCAAAAGGTCGGCTAAAAAAAGCCACATGCAAACAAAGGCAGGAGGTGAAATCAGAATAACAGGCACAAAGGTCAGAAGGAGAGAAAAACGAAGGGCATTAACCACAAACCTGAAAAGACGCTTCTCACCCCCAAAGCAAATAAGACATGTTTTTAAAAATCTGCTGAACCAAGTAGAGCCTTCTTAATAAGAAGAAGGTGATCTTCTGAGGGCAGGTACAGGTCAAGGTGATCCTCTGGTCCGGTGTCAGTCCCCACCCACAGCAGACAGGTGCCAGGGCCCTGGGCTCCTTCCTTCCTCGGGTTTCTCCATCTGAATGCTGTCAACTGACTCGCATCTAGACTCTGCTGTAAGTGCTGTGGGGGATTCGCTGAATACAGCATCCTTCTGCCAATCATTACCCCCACTTTACAAAACAGGGAGTGAGGTCCCCAAACATACAGTGACCTGCCCAAGGGCACCCAGCCAGCAGGCTGGCTCCAGCGCTCCGAGCCTAACCGTGAGGCCAGTGGCCTCCAGCCCCTGAGTGCTCGGCCTCGCGGGGACACCGGCCACTGCAGACCAGTCAGGGTGCTCACAGCCCGGTGAGGGGGCAGCCGCGGGGATGAGATGCCCGGGGAAGGCAGCCGCTCGCCGGTGCTGTCAGGGAGCAGCCCCAAGAGGGCCCCACATGGCCAGCCGCAGCCGAGCGGAAGGGTGGACGAGAGCCAGCCAGCTGGAAGGAAGGTAGGAGGTAGGGAGGGCGCCCCAGGCAAAGGCACAGTCTGAGCCGGCGGAGACGCCAACAGCGGCCAGAGCAGAAGGCGGCGGGCGGGGTGGGGAGCGCGAGAGGTGGCAGGGCCAGGCTGAGGGCAGGTGTGAAGCTGGGGAGGGATGTGGCCAGATGGGCCCCTTGGGAAAATTCCATGGCCCTCGTGAGAATAACGGGTTGCAGAGAAGAGGCTGGAGGCCGGACAGGCGTTTGGGCGAATCAGGGGCAGGTTCTGGGGAGAGGAAGCAGGGTGACCTGACAAGGCTTGGGGGCTTCAGAGGGCAGCAAATGGGGGGTCACGGTGGGTCCCCGCCGACAGCGGAGTCACTGGGGCACTTTGGAAAGGGACAGAGTTGGTGAGAGGGCAAGCAGGTCAGGGAGAACCTGTGGATCTGTTTAATGAGAGCTGAGAGGGTTGGTTACGAACAAAGACAATCGTCAGATTATGATCACTGATGAAAAGAATGTGAAAGTCCTTCATAAAATGCAAGTCACCACCCATACCTAAAGGTCAGCTTTCCTTCAGTCCGCAAACACCACGCGGGATGCGCTGTGTGCCAGGCTCTGCAGAGGCCACGTTGGGAAAAAATGGACGCGTTCGCTGCCTGAGGGGCAGAGACAGACGGTAGACAAAGGTGCAAGTGGGTGGCGTGTCGGGGAGCGGCCCACGGACGGAGAGAAACAGGCAAAGAGAGGAAGACGGAGAGGGTGGTTTCAAGCATGGGGCCAGGGAAGGCCTCCCTGAGAAGGTGGCGTTTGGGCAGACACCTGAGGGAGCTCTGTGGCTGTCTGGGGAGGCAGGAGTAGCCAGTGCAAAGGCCCTGAGGTGGGTGCATGCTCAGTGGATTCAGAGACAGCCAGGAAGCTGGTGGGATGGAGGGGAGTGAGCGAGGGGCAGTGGTTGGAGAGGTAACGGGTGCAGGAGGGGTACAGATCACGTAGGGCCTCATGGGCCATTCAGGGCCTTTAGGTTTTCCTCGGAGAGTGGCAGGGACCACAGGAAGGTTCTGAATACAAGAGGACTTGATTCATCTCTGACCGTGTGTTTAGAACAGGCTGGGGTGGAGTGGGGGGATGAGAGGCAGGGAGATCAGGGAGGAGGTCTTCGCAGTGAGCATGCTGCGAGAAGATGGTGGCTCAGCCCAGGGTAGAGACCATGACAGTGATGAGACATGGTCACATTTGTGTCTTGAAGGTAGAGCAGATAGGATCTGCAGATCGATATTTAGTGCAATAGGTTTATTAAAGAGTTGAAGATCTAGGTTAACCCCAGCACTTAGCATGCTGTCTAGAACCTGGGACCCACTTAGTCAGTGTTGTGTGAAAGGATGGATGGGTGCGTGGACATCTGTGTGGAGGGATGGAGAGAGGGAGGAAAGAGTACAGGTAGGCGGGTGGATAGGTGGAAGGACAGAGGGATGGATGGATGGACAGTCAGGCAAATGGGTAGATGGGCAGCTAGAGGGGAAGGATGGATGCATGCCTGCATGTAAGCAGGGGGAGAGGAGAGGAGACAGGCCTCGAATGCCAGGCTAAGAAATCCAAACTTTCCCAGAGGCAGTGGGAGCCACTGCAGGTTCTTAAGCAGGGGCGTGATGGAACATGAGGACTGTTGGAGGCACTATTAGAAGGTGGCATTAAATGGACACTGGGCAGTGTCTGGCATCTTGTCCCAAGCTGGTAACCTCTGTGGACACAGATTTGTCAATCCTTTCTGTCTCCTGCTGTCCAATCCTCTGTCCTAATTCATTTATACTTACAAGTGTTCTCTGAGCATTTGCTCCATGAGGGCACTGGGGGCCTGGTGTGAATGAACTGGACACGGTCTCTGCCCACAGGACACATTCTCACCCTGCACGGGGTGGGGAGGGAGTGTCTTAGAACCAGAGAGAGGATGCAGTTACTCTTGGGGCTCAGTGGCCCCCCAGCTTCATGCTGAGAAGGAAAGGGCTGCTCTCTGCTCTTTCCAGAGACCAAGACTTCCTGTAGCCTTAGTGGGGACCCTCCAGGAAGCCAGGCAAGACCTTAGCATCCTCCTTCCAGCTCAGAGTTTTCTTGTTTGAAAGTTACATTCTTTGGTTTAACCTGGATACTTACTTGGGGTTGGGAGGTTGTGTCTGACTGTTTGAGACCGCATGGACTGCAGCACGCCAGGGGGGTGTGTTGTGACTGAACGATACACGTGCACTTGCCTGGGAGGAAAGGCTATGCTGGGAATGAGTAAAAGGAAAGGAACCAGCATGCATTGAATGCCCACGGTGTTTCATGCTCATTACATGTTCATTCACTTAACAAGTATTTCTTGAACTTTTGCCCCATGCCAGGCACTGTTTTGAGGCAGTGGGAATACAGTGGTGAACAACACAGGGCAGGTCTCACTAATAAATAAGCAATTCCAGACAGTGGTGAGTGTTACCACTGTAAGAAAATTAACAGGGCAGTTGAGGGGGCCACGTGGGCGGCTTGAGTAGGATGGTCGGGGAGACCTTCACTGAGGAGGTGACATTTGAGGTGATAAGTACCTGACCGTACCACCGTCTGGGGGAGGAGTAATCCCAACAAAGGAGCCAGCACATCTAAAGGCCCTGAGGCAGGAAAGAGCGAGGCAGGTTCAGAGATAGAGGCGTGTTCAGAGATTGAGGCCAAGTGGCTGCGGTAGAGTGTTCGGAGGGCGGAAGGTGGATGAGCCAGAAGAAGAAGTAAGGGACTGGATTGTAGGGGCTTTATAGGTCATGGAATGAAGTTTGGATTTGATCCTTGCCCTGTAAGCAAAGAGGAACTAAAGAGCCTCTTGATGATGGTGAAAGAGGAGGGTGAAAAACCTGGCTTAAAACTCAACATTTGAAAAACTAAGATCATGGCACTTGGTCTCATCACTCCATGGCAAATAGGGAAACAGTGGAAACAGTGAGAGGCTTTATTTTCTTTGGGCTCCAAAATCACTGCAGATAGTGATTCTAGCCATGAAATTAAAAGATGCTTGCTCCTTGGAAGAAAAGCTATGATCAACCTAGACAGCATGTTAAAAAGCAGAGATACTACTTTGCTGACAAAGGTCCTCATAGTCAAAGCTATGATTTTACCAACAGTCATGTATGGATGTGAGAGTTGGACCATAAAGAAAGCTGAGTGCCAAAGAATGGATGCTTTTGAACTGTGGGGCTGGAGAAGACTCTTGAGAGTCCCTTGGAGAGCAAGGAGATCAAACCAGTCAGTCCCAAAGAAAATCAGCCCTAAATGTTCATTGGAAGGACTGATGCTGAAGCTACAATACTTTGGCCACATGATGCAAAGAGCCAACTCATTGGAAAAGACCCTGAGAATGGGAAATATTGAGGGCAGAAGAAAAGGGCAGCAGAGGATGAGATGGTTGGATGGCATCACTGACTCAATGGACATGAATCTGAGCAAACTCCAGGAGACGGTGAAGGACAGGGAAGCCTGGCGTGCTGCAGTCCATGGAGTCACAAACAGTCGGACACAACTTAGGGACTGAATGACAACTGAAGGGTCTTAAGCAGGGGTGAGACACACATACAGTCCCCTTTGGCTGCCGTATGGGAAGAGGTTCTCATTCGATTCAACCCTTGCAACAGTTCTGAGCGGTTGTTGAGGAAATTCCCATTTCACAGATAGAGAAACTGAGATGCACAGCTAGTAAGTGACAGAGCAGGTTTCGAACCCACATCTGCATGACCAAGTCCCACACGTGATCAGTGGGCACCCACAGAAGGGCCCTGATGGGGAAATGGTGGGATGCAGGTGGGGTTGCAGAGTGCTGATGTGGGCCCTGCCCTGTGCATCTTTGCACCACCACCCCCATCTCATTTGCCACCTCTCAGCCCCATTTCCAGAGGCAGAGGTTCTGCCAGAAGCTTCTGCAAAGGCCTTCCCCTGCCACTTGCACACAGCACCCTTGCAGACTGACCTCCCAACTCCCAGGCTCTGAGAGCTGATCCTGAGCTAAGGGACTGGCCCGGGGACCAGGGAAGCAAGCAGGCCAAGACAGGGGTCCACAGCCTGACCTTTGTGACCCTGTGGAGTGGGCAGTGGGGGTGGGCAAGCCTCTTCTCCCCAATCCCACTCCACCCTCATCCCTATCCACCCCTGGAGAAAATGTGGAGACAGGCAGAGTAAATTCAGTTTCTTTGCTGTCATTGCAAGGGCCTGCTTTAGACACAAGGAGATGAGCTGGAACCAAAGGGGCTGGAGGCAGGAGGGGAGCCTGTTGAGGGTTCACCCAGCCAGGAGGCGGCTGTGCTAGGTATGCCCAGCTCGCCCTGAGCTGCCGCCCGGGAAGGGGGCACAAAACCATCGCTTGCCTCCTCTCTTAAGCCCCCTGTCTCCCCACCGGTCCCCGCATGCACCCTCATCAGCACACGGCTCAGGGTAAAGGCCCTGGCCGTGTCACCCACCAGCCGGGTGGCCTCGCCGCTCTGAGCCTAGTTTCAGCAGCTGTGAAATGAGCTGGTAAGCCTTTCCAGGCAGGATTTTAGTGAGGGAGCTGCACAAAGCCCTAACCTCACAGCCTGGCATGGAAGCGGCTCTGTGGACTGCAGCCCGCCAGGCTCCTCTGTCCATGGGATTCTCCAGGCAAGAATATTGGACTGGGGAGCCATTTCCTCCTCCAGGGGATCTTCCCAACCCAGGGATCGAACCTGCGTCTCCTGCATCTCCTGCATCGGCAGGCGGGTTCTTCACCGCTACCTCCACCTGGGAAGCCCCGCACATACTAAGTGCTCAGTTTAAAAAGCAGACAGTACTTCTATGATGGCAGGGATGACAGTGGCCAGCTGGCCTCCTAACACCTCCGTCCTCTCACCTCACCGCCCCACCGCCCTGTCTAACTGGTCCTGACCCAGGCACTTTCACAGAGGGAGTCCACCCGGGTCAGGTCTGCCTAGGGTCCGCTCCAGGCCAGCCTCTGGGCCCAGCGCTGCTAGCTCATTCTCATTCCCACCCTTAGGATGACAGTGGAAGGGCCGGGGCCGCACCCCCACTTCATGGCTGAGGAAATAGACTCTGAGCTGTGAAGGTGTCTGCCTAGGAGGGCAGAAACCCAGGTCTGCTCAGGAAGTCGCCACTGTCCCTAACCTGCGGGGCTTCTTCCTAGGCTGTTGGCGGAAGCCGTGGCCCCCGATGGGCCTTGACGTGTAAGGGGTTTCCTGAGTTGGGAGGAGAGGTTGCAGGCAGGGGGAGGGAGAGGTGATCCTCCGGGCCACTGCCCCCTCTTCTACCGTACAGAGCAGGGAGCTGGGGGCCTGGAGGCCTCTGCAAGACAGGCTGTGGGCCTGGTCAGCCCAGCAGGGGCGTGAGGGCAGAGCGGGAGTGGGGCACCTGGGGACGGCGGGCAGGGACCAGCAAGGCAGCAGCGGGTGGCGGCTGCAGTGGGTGGGTGTAGAGCTCAGAATGCCCACCGAGACCCCCAGGGGTGGATGTGGGGGGGGGGGCGTCCCCAGGTTCCTCACCTTTGTCCAGACCCCCCTGTCTGTCCCATCCTTTCACAGAAGGCAGCTGGGCGAACCGCGTGCCCGTGGGAGAGGCAGAGAGTAGCTGGGCGGTGAGGAGGCTGCCATCTCACCCACGAGCTCCCACCCTCCAGGACCTGTGGGTTCTTTTTCTCCCTCTGGGCCCTTTAGATTGCTCAAGAGTTCCCATGGGTTCAGTCTCCCTGCTCCCTTCCTGGCCTCAGAACTCAGGAGACCCAGTGTCGGAGCCAGCCACACATCACCACGTGTTTCAGACCTTAAAGAGCTGCCCACCCGCTGCCCGCTTTCCCAGGGGAGGACCTGGGCTCCGAGAGGTCCAGTCACTGCTCGAGGTCACACAGAACGTGGGGGGCAGGGGAGACGGACTCCAGGCTTGGGACTGGCTCCCGGGGGAGTGACGGCTTTGTTCTTCCACACATCCCTCCAAGAGAGGAAAAGCTCCCCATTTTGCCTTGAGTCCTGGGCCTCCAATGCCCAGCTCCACACCGGGGGGCCAATGCCCACACGCTGGCCCGGGGCCCTACCCGTGGGCGGCTCCAGCATCTGCCAGGACTGCAGCGGGCCCAGTCCAGCCATTTGGGTTTGGAAGTCTTTTCAGGAGAGGTGATTGGAGAGTGGCCAGCAGGTCTTTTCCACCGCCGTGGAAATTTCCAACGATGGAATTATGAGAACCTCCCATGGCCCTTCTCCCGCCCCACTTTGTTATGAAAAAACAACTCCTTGACGGCCAGGCAGGGGGAGAGCAGATTAGATCCCAGGAAGAACTCCCCAGCGAGAGACTCCCAAGTCTCCCAAGACTCCCACTGGGAGGACCCAGGAGATCGTGGTTCGAAGTCCGGGCAGCCTCTCTGGAAGGGGTTTCCAGCTGTTCTGGGCCGGGAGCCAGGACAGCCGCTGCAGCTCAGGGCATCCTTCTGCGCCGTGCTGGGGTTGGTGTCAACATCACCGTCAGTCAGTGAGTGCTGGTTGGTGGTGAGACAGGCACATAGGTGGGTGGGTAGGGCAGAAGGAAGGGAGGGAGACAAGCAATCCGGTAGAATGGGCTTCACCAGGAAACACCCGGACCACGGCACCTTGGTCAGTCCCTTCACTCCTGTGCTGTCCGACTTCCAAACCATGGACACGACTGTACCTACCACTCCTGGAGAACTGGATCATACCAGCCCACTCCAGTGCTCTTGCCTGGAGGAGTCCACGGAACAGAGGAGTCTGGCGGGCTACATTCCATGGGGTCTCAAAGAGTCACACACAACTGAACGACTAAATAGCAGACATACCTACCGCGCAAAGTTGCAATGATAACTAGCGTGTGGGAAATGCCTGGCTCTGTGAACAGCAGAGCCTCAGATCATCTCCATCATAGAACAGCTAGATAGTGAGGTTGTGAGACAGCCCTGACTCTGTCTCTCTGAGCTGTGTCGCCTGGGGCAGGTGACTTCGCCCCTCTGGGCCTCCATTTCTTCATCCACGAAATGGAGATGAGGAAGAGCACCTGTTACCAGGGTTGCCTGTGGGGATCAGATGAGAGTTTCGTTGGCCTGGGGAAAGCATTGCCCCACCCCTCAGTGTTGTTCCCCTGATTCTGATGGCAAGCTGGGGGGCAGGGAGGGCAGCGAGTCTGCTATGGCAGAGGGGCCTTTCTATTGACTGTGGTGGGAAGGATGCTTCAGGCCCCAGTGGGTGGGCAGAAGACAGGCTTTCTCCAGCTCAGTCACAGAGCTGAGAACCACCTGCAAAGGCAGCTGTGATTGACAGGAAGACCCGGAGCCGGGCGGCTCTGGACCGGAAGTGCCTGGGGACACACAGGTCAGGGCAGCGGTCACCACACGCTGGGGTTCTGGTCTCAGCACAGCTCAACTCCAGCCCCTGCATTGCACCCGTATCCTTCCTCTCACCACCAGCCTGGCCGAGAGCAGGTTGCCCTTGGGTTAGTTCTGACCCCCCTGGGTAGGGTGAGGTGAGGGGTTGAGCTGCTCTGGGCCCAGACACGGCTGTTTGGGCAACAGGAGCTGAGGGTCAGCTGGCATCAGCAGAGCAGGCTGTGACTGGGGGCTGTGCACAGCAGTACAGTGAAGGGCTTGACTTCCAGGTGGATTCTGGTCCTGCTTCCCCAGCTGTGTAGCCTCAGGCTCCTTGTCCGTAAAATGGGGATAATAGAGCCCACCTCCCAGGCTGGTCATCAGGATGAAACGAAACAGTGCCCATAAATACAGTGTGGCACCGCCTGGCCCAGGGCTGGCATTCATTTACCCACTCAACTGTGTCCTGATTATCTACTGTGTGCCAGCCCTGGTCTGAGAAGTGGGGTTTTATAGGAAACCAGCTGAGCAGTCGAGGATGATCAAATTGTCCAGGACATTCTGAGCTTAGAAATAGAAGTCCTGCATCTGAGAAACCAACGCCCCCCTCCCCCATTCTCAAACTAAGCAGGACAGTGGGACATCCTAACACAGTCCCCACCCGAGTGGGGTTTAAAGCTTAGTGGAGGGAGACGGACAGTAAGTAAACACATCATGTTCATGGTGGTTGAAACAGTTATTTTTTTAAATAACCCAGAGTAAGAGAGTAGGGGGCGATGATCAGTGTAGGGGGTGTTGATGGGGTGGGCAGGGCAGGCCTCTCTAAGGAGGTGACATTTGAGCAGGGACGTGGGGGGTGAGACGTGTGGATGAACAGGGAACTACATGGGGAAAAGCTCTGAGGTGGGAGAGTGCTGTCATGGCAGAGGAACAAAAAAGGAGATGGGGGGTGGGGTGAGAAAGGGCTGGCCAGTCGAATTAATTGGGGCTCCTTTCAGAAGCAAGTAGTATAAATGTCAGCTCAAGTTAACTTAAGAAGAAAAAAAAAGACATGTTGACTTCAGGTATGGCTGTATCCTGGTGCTCAAACGACTTTTCTCATTCGTCATCTCTGCTTTGCATCTGTGTTATTGTCATTCTCAAGAAGGTCACAGCAGCCCCAGCTAGATGACCTATGTGTCTGTAACTGCAAAAAAAAAAGATACTCTGCTGTAAGGTCCAGCATGGCAGATGGGAGCAGGCTGGGCGGAGATCATGAGAGAGAAATATGTGGGAGGGGAAGGGAGCCATCTGCAGACAGAGCACCTGGGTCCAGCCTTGTAGAGTCTGGACTTTGGACTTCATTCCGACTGTACTGGGAGCCATAGAAGGTTTTAAACAGGGAAGTGACCTGATCCAGTTTATGTTTTAGGAATTGTCAGTCTTGTTGTGGTGTGGTGACTGAATTGTCGGAGCAAGCGATTAGCAGGGAAATCGATGAGGAGGCTAGCGTGCTCATCCAGGTGGGCCTTCGTGATGGATGTGGAGGTAGAGGGAAGGAGATGGACTGGGAGTTGGGGAGGGGAGCACTTGGAAGAAAGCCTGGACAAGCCCGGGGTAGAGATGGGAGTAGGGTCCCTGGGAGAGACTTGCAAGGGTCTCAGGCCTGAAGGGACTGGGGTATGGGAGGGAGCTCTGTGTCAGGGACAGGACGGCAGGCAGCCCCTAGAGGTAGGGCCCTGTTCCCCCAGATGGCATGAGCCCCCTGAACAGGAGGAGGCCTTCTGGACTCCTCTCCCAGTTAGGGGCCCCCACTGAGCCTGGAGCCCGGAGCCCCCTTCCTCAGCTTGAGGAAAGGAGAGTTGAGGGGCCAGGCAGCCCACCCAGCAGACAGCAGGAGGCCCAGAATTGAGGAAGCCCCTAATTCAGCCATGGCCCTTCATTGCGCCTTCTTTCACTGCTGGATCCATGGCAGGATGTGTCCCCTGTGAGCAACATCAGGGTCCTAGGTAGGCCCCAGAGCTTCTCAGGACCTGGCCTGGCCTGGCCTCTTCTTGGTGCCTAAGGGCAGTTCAAGGGGTCTGCCCTGCCTACCAGGGAGACTTACTCAAGTCCCATGCAAGAGGAGAGTTGCCCAGCATCTAGGCTTGTAGTGGGCAGTGGGCCCAGTGTGGGCCCACCCACCTCTGACTCACCAGGCTAGAGTGAGTCTCATGCCATTTCCAAAGTTTCAATAGTAACAAAAAAACAAATGTTCAAGCAGATGAGTCATGAGCATTTTTCTAAGGTTTCTGCTCTTACTGGGCTTCAGGTATGGCTAGATCAAAGTGTATCTGAGTTAAGCCTCCCAGGCATATACCTGGGGGTAGTTTCCAAAGACTGCATGCTTCAAAAGGGGCTTCGGTCTCCATGTATCATTCTAGGGATGTGTCCATGCCCAAATCTGGCAACTAATGAAATGAAGAGACTAAGGCACAGAGAACCTAGGAGAGTGGCTGGGTCTGGGAGCATGGCTGCGCTCAAGGTCATCTATGGAGCACTTGTTTGGGGCTCAGCAATTTCACATACGTCATCTCTTCTAATATGACAGTCTTAGAAGGCGATGTTGTAATCCCCACTCTATGGATGAGGAAACTGAGGCTGAGAAAGGGCCTGCATGTGTTTGTCATGCATAATAAGTTCAAAGTGAGTGCTCCCCCCTGCCCTCCAGAAATGATGAGTATCATAGCTTCCCATCTTAGAAAGAATCTTACAAAGCAACGCAATCAATCTTTTCACTCCAAGCATCCACCCTCCCTCCCTCCCTCCCTTCCTTCTTTCTTTCCTTTATTCCTAAATGATTCACAGATGATCTACTATGTACTCACAGTGTGCAGGCCTTAGGAATGTGTAACAGTGATTAAAAAACAAACACGGGCCCTGCTCTCAGTGGTCTAGTGTTGAACATTAATCCAACAGTCACACAAATACGTATAAAACACAACCAGAGTACGTGGTAGGTGAGTCCGGGAAGGGCCCCACGAGGAGGTGGGATTGAGCAGAGTGTAGGAGGATGAGTAGGAGTTTGCCGGGCGCTCCTGGGGTGGGGAACAGCATTAGCATTCAGGCAAGGGAACAGAACAGACAAAGGCCTCGTGGGGAGAGTTAGCGGCGTGGCCGCAGCAGAGACAGTGAGAGAATGGGGTGTTGGGTGGGGCTGGTGGAGCTGGGGTGGGCCACCTAGGGCTTTGAAGATCACAGTGAGGACTTCTGTTTTTATCCTAAGAACAAGATGAGGAGGATGTGGTATAAACAGAATTGCTTTTCCAAGTGGAAGAGAGAGGCCAGTCAAGAGGCTCCTGCAGTCACCCAAACAAGAGATGAGAAAGACTTAGTGCAGGGGCTGTGGAGACGCAGTGCGGTGATGGCTTCAGGGAAATGTGCATGCTAAGTTGCTTCAGTTGTGTCCAACTCGTTGCGACCCCATGGACTGTAGACCCCCAAGCTCCTCTGTCCAAGGGATTCTCCAGGCAAGAATACCAGAAGGGCAAAACTGACAGGACTTGGATGATAGAGAGGAAAGTGACAGGGTGACTCTTGTGTTCTGAGCTGCCCACCTGGAGAGAAGATGAGGCCTTTCCTGGGGACAGTGAATCCTGGGGAGAATGAGATGGGGGTGGAGAAGTTTAAGGCTTGGATTTCCAATAGGAACTCCTATCTCACGTCAAGCACACACGGAACTGAGGGAGAAGAAAGCAGAGTGGTGGGGGAGGTTTTTGGCAACTATTTCTTAGTTCCAAAACAAAAAGATAAGCAACAAAAGGAAAAACTGGTTAAATTGGACTTCACCAAACTCACAAAGTTTTATGCAGCAAAGGATACTATCAACAGAGTGAAAAGATGATCCATGGAATAAGAGAAGATAGCTGCAAATGGTACCTGTGATAAGAGATTTATATTAAGAACTCCTGCAACTCAACCAAAAAAAAAAAAAAAAAGCCAAACAACCCAAATTGAAAATGAGCAAAGGGCTTGAATAGACATTTCTCCAAAGATGATAGGCAAATGGCCAATAAACACATGAAAAGATGCTCAACATCACTAATCATTAGGGAAACGCAAATCAAAACCACCGTGAGATTTCACTTCGCACCCATTAGGATGGCTCTTAAAATAAAACAGAAAATTGGCAAGGATGTAGAGAAACTGGGACCCTCGTGCACTGTTAATGGAAATGCAAAGTTGTATAACTGCTACAAGCAATTGTATGGTGGTTCCTCAAAAAATTAAGCATAGAGTAACCATACAATCCAACAGTTCTGCTCCTGGTTATATACCCAAGAGAACTGAAAACTTATATTTTCACATCCATGTCCATAGCAGCATTATTCACAACGGCCAAAAGGGGGAAGCTGCCCAAATTTCCACCAGCAGAAGAAAGGATAAACAAAATATTGTTTATACATGTGATGGAATATTATTCAGCTTTAAAAAGGAAGGAAAGTCTGACACATGCTGGAACATGGATGAACCTTGAAGACATCATGCCAAGTGGAACACAACACAAAAGGACGAATACTGTGTGATTCCACATACATGAGGTCCCTAGCATAGTCAAAATCGTATACAGAAAGTTGAATGGTGGGGTGGGGGGCTGGTGGGGAGGAGGGGATGGGGGGACAGTGTTTGAGGGGACAGAGTTGCAGTTGGGGAAGATGAAAAAGTTCCAGAGACGGATGGTACAACAGTGTGACTGTACTTAATGCTACTGACCTATACACTTCAAAATGGTTAAAATGGAAAATTTTGTGTTACGTAGATTTAACTGCAATAGGAGAAGTAGATGAGAAACGTTGAGACGGCACATAGATCTGAAGGTAAAAGCTGCAACTCTAAAACCTCTAGAAGAAGGCACAGGAGAACATCTTCACCTTGGAGTAAGAAATGATTTTCAGAAAAGACACAGGAAAGTGTTTATCGTGAGGGAAGAAGCTGACAGGTTGGACTTGAGATGGGTTGAGTGTGAGGTGTGGGGACGTCGGGGTAGCGGGACCAGGTACGAAGTTGGTTGTTGTTCTTAATGAGACCTGGGCGGGAGGAACCACACGTGAGACCCCCGCAGTCAGCTGATACTCCCAGCTACAGTCTGCCCTTGGGGGCCCCAGTGGGGTCACCTACTTTATGACCCACCAGTCTAGAATAAGTGTCTTTTGGTCACTTCTGGAATGGGTCTAGCTGTGGATGTCCAAGCAGATGAACCCCTGAGTATTTTCTCAAGGTATCTTCTCTGAGTGCCGTCTCACTGGGCTGTGGCTTATACCATCCGTCTGCTTCTCTGGCCAGATTTGGGGTGCATCTGTGACAAGAGCTGTCTGCACTGCACTGCCGCCTTCACGCCCATCCCCGAGGCTAATGGAGGAGTCAGATGAAACCTCATTTCCTCTGATCCTAGAGGTTGATCAGTTAGGGTGACAGGAACTCGCTGATCTGGAAGAATTAGCTTTGCATCATACTTGGGTAAGACCAGTATCTGAGCTCTTTCTGCTCAATCCACACTGGCGTGATTCTCAAGTAGCCTTGCCTTGCTGAGGGCCTCCAAACCTGGGGCCCCAGCCTCAAACCTTGCTCTCTCTAACCATGCCCAGGCCCCTGGATTTCCTGGCTCTGCCATCTTGTTACTCTTCCTACATGACATTCATTGGCAAAGCAGGCAGTTGGCTTGGTCCCACCACACAGTGATTCCAGCTGAGTCTTTGTGGGACAGAAGGGTCAGGGACTGCTTTGAGAAGTTGATGAAAGCCACAGGCTTCCTCTTCAGGAAAAAAAAAAGTAAATCTACACAGACCTTTACAAAGGACCTTTACATGGACCTCAGCTAAAGGCAGCCTGACTGGGGCTCCCTGCAAGGGTGCATAAATGCTTTTATGCTTTGCCCTCTGGTTCTCTTCAGGGGGAGACATAATTTATGCAGTTTTGCAGATGGAGAAACTGAGATTCAGAGGAGTAACCCTAACTGCTTGCCTGGCCCTAGAAGGAGTAACCGGGCTTGTGAGCTGGGAATTCCCAAACTATTTCTCCTCCTGTACGGTTGAGAGTTCCTACCCCACCCTCTCACCCCCAGTTTCTCTGAGCAGGAGGGAGGGGTACAAAGTAGTTGGTGGTGGGCGGCTTGACCCCCGCCCAGAGGGTGGAGCTTTTGCCTGAATCACCTTTGAGTCCCCAGCATCCAACTCGCGGCCCCAGAATCTACCAACTGAATGACAAGTAAGAGAATGCGTGGGCCATTGTAGAGGGAGGGGCCTTTGGCCTTGGAGACAGAGATGCTCCTAGTCATCAGTGCTGTCCATCCTAGCTCTGTGGTCTGGGCCTCTCTCAGCCTCAGTTTCCCTGTCTGTAAAATGGGAGCATCGACACTCCTCTGACAGCTGTTGGGAAGATGAAGTAGACAGTTGTGGGACAGGGACTCTGCTTGATGTGTCACAGATGTTGTCACATGTCACCTCCCCCAAAGCCTGGGCACACACATGGAAATATCCCCATCTTGCAGATGAAGAAACTGAGGCTCAGAGCAAGGCAACGATGTGCCCAAGGCCATGTAGAAGTAGCTGATCTCAAATCAGAGTCCAGGTCTGTGCCCTTGAATAAACGCATGGTGCCTGACACCTCCTAGGTGGTCATTAAATGGCCAAGGTGCCTCCCCCCGACCCTAGCCCACCAGCTAGAGGGGCCTTCTGCAGGGGTCTGTGGGTGGTAACATCAGACACAAGACAGAATAACAGTGGCCTTGTAGCATGCAGGGGGCTTCCCTGGTGACTCAGCGGTAACAAATTCACCTGCAGGAGATTCAGGAGACTCAGGTTCAATCCCTGGATCGGGAAGATCCCCTGGAGGAGGGCATGGCAACTCCAGAGTACCACTCCGGTATTTTTGCTGGAGAATCCCACAGCCAGAGGAGCTTGGCAGCTACAGTCCACAGGGTCGCAAAGCGTCAGACTTTACGCAGCAGCCCGGGAGTGTGCAGAAGCTTTGTCGTGACCCCTCCAGACCACGCCCCGCCCCCAAGGCCTCTCTGATTTCCTGCACAGTCGAGTCTCAAGTGATGAGCCGGGGCAGCAGTGAGGACAGCGAACTTGACTGCACCTCGTTCCGATTTTGTCTTTTCACTCTTTCCCTCTGCTGCCGCGACGGCAGGTGGGAGGCCCGGCGAGTGCCCAGCGGCCGCCCCTCATTCTCACGCCCACTCACCTCCTCCCCGTGTGCAGCTTCCTTCCTGTGAGTCTGTTCAGAGCCGCAGCCCAGGCTCAGGGTGGAAAGGATGGGACAGAGTCCACATCCTCAGCCCCGCCCCCCACAATCTCCACCGCCGCAGCTCACATGCACTCCTCCGGCTCATGGGTGACTCGAGGATGGGTGTTTAGTGCAGGGTGGCTCTCTGTGAGCCTCGGGCATGGGCCCGAGGCCCCTGAGACGCAAGATGGACCAGCCCCCGCCCCCTCCCCCAAGGGGCTCCCAGAAAGACAGTGATAATGCAGCGTGTCCAGAAAGCCATAGAAGCACAGAGGCGGGGTGGCAAAGAAGTCTGCCCGGGAGGTTAGAGAACGCTTTAGAAGAGCAAGAGTTAGAATTAGCCTTTGCCCAAAGGAGGACACTTAGGCGGGGGAGCTGCCCCGGCAAAAGCCTGGAGGTGTGAAACTTCGCAAGGTGCTTCTTACGATTGGGAGGAAGGATCTGAGTGAGGGGCTGAAGGACATGAAACCCGAGAAGTTGGCAGGACCCGTGTGTGTCATGCTACAGGTGACAAACCTGTCCTGAGGGCAGTAGGGACCCGCTGACGGCTTTAGCAGGGGGTCACCCGACGGGTCAGCCAGCGGGCTGCGTGGCTCTGTCCTCCTCCCTTGGTGATCTCATCCAGCCCCGTGGCTTTAAATACCATCTTTAAGCTGCTGATGCCCATATTTCTATCTTCAGCCTGCATCTCTCTTCTGCACTCCCAACTCATCATCCAACTGGCCACTTGGCACCTCTACTTGGACGTCTCACAAGCATCTCAAAGTTAACAAGTCCAAAAAGAATTCTTGATCGTGCCCACTCACCCCCCCCCCAAAAAAAAACCTCGCTTCTTCCCCAGCTTCCCATCCCAGTAAATGGCACCGTCACCCAGCCTCCTGCCGCAGGCAGAGCCCTTATCGGCCAGGCTCCTCCGCCTCCGTCTCCCCGGCTCAGCCTCTGGGTTCTGCTTCCTATCTGCCACCTGCCCACGTGTCCTCAGCACCTCTGCCGCCCCTGCAGCCGGCGCCCCATCCCCACCCGCCTGGATGACGCAGTAGCTGTTCTTTCTTCCTGCTCTCACCCTGCCGTTGTCTCCTCCAAAGGATGATGGGATTTTAAAAAAGCAAAGGCTTGTGCTGACCTGCCACCTAAAAGTCTTCGGAAGTGTCCCTCTGCACCTGGAATAAAATCCAGCCTCTTCACCATCACTGTGAATCTTCACACAGTCTGGCCCCTGCCCTTTTCTGAACTCGCCTCACTCACAAGTCTCAGCCATCCGTTGGGTTATTAAAAGCATGTCCCACCCCACTTCCTGCCTCAGGGTCTTTGCCTCCACAGTTCCCTCTGCCTGGCACCCACTGGCCCCAGCTCTTTGCCTTGTCTACTTGGCAAAATAAGTTCCCCCAACAGTTGGTCGTAATGCCCTCATCGCTTCATAGTGCTTTTCACAACCTGTCTTTTCCTACAGAAGCAAGTTATGATGTGCCTGGCACACAGTAGGTGCACATTAAATAAGTCTTGAGTTAGTAAATCAGAAAAGGCCAGAGCAGAAGCGGGCCTCGAAGCAGGAGGTCAGGGGAGAGAGAACCTGAAAGGATGGTTGAAGGACAAATAGGGGAAAGGCACTAGCGCCCGGAGGGATGTTTAGATCCTGAGAGGCGCTGGGGAGCCGTGGACGGGTCCAGAGCCAAGTCCTGGGAGTGATCCCTGGAGCGGGGAGGCTGTGTGCCAGGTGGCCACGTGACTGGCTTCTGAAATCAGACTGCCTGGGCTCAGACCTTGGTTCCGCAACTTCCAGACATGAAACCGCAGCAAACCCCTCAGCCTCTGTGCCTCAGTTTCTTCCTCTATAAACCAGGGCCTCTTCCTGAAGCCTCCGCAGCCGGGAGGCTCCATGGGAGGGTGTGTGTACAGTTCTTGCTCAGTAGACATGGAGCTTACAGTCTGATGGGGGAGACTGGCAGATGCACCCCGACCGTGGGTCCCCAGGATGAGTACTGGACCGGATGGGCCAGCCACGGCCTGTGCAAGCAGAGAATTTAATCTGGGAGGTCAGGGAAGGCCTCCCGGCAGAAGTGACATTGGATTTGGGGGAGACAGTTTCCTTGAGAGAATATTTTTGAGTCAGCAGCCACTGGCCCGTGAACAAGGGAGGAGGAGGTGGGTTCTGGTTCCTCAGCTCCCAAAATAACCCGGATCCGAGGGCGGACAGCCCGGCAAGCCCCGGGAGCCGCTACCATGCCTCTCCTGGCTGGGTTCCGGCGACCTTGGAGCACTCCTTGCCCGGCCCTGTGCCCCCAGGTGGCCAGGAGGCTGGAGGGAGGGATGCCCATGCCAGAGACGGGGGCCCCAGGCCAAGGGGGCTGGTCCCTCTCTCCTCGATACAGGACATGGAGCTGCCCCGTGAGAGCAGTCATGTTTGCGGTTCAGCTTTTGGACCAGCCACTCAGCCACCAGGGCGGAGAGGACACACGCCCAGTCCTCCCTCTCCTTCCTCGCTGTGTCACCCGTCGTCCCAGTTTCTCTGTGTCTCTGCGTCAGTCCTTTTGGCTCCGTGTCCGTCTGTCCGTGTCCCTCCCTCCCTCTCCCTCTCTCCCTCTCTTCCTTCCTCCTTCTGGCCACCTCCAGGCCCCTCCTTCCTCTCTCTCACTCCCTCTCCTTTGCTCCATCTCACTTTATCTGCTCCAAAGTCCACCTCTGTTGCTCTGCCCTCCCCCACCTCCCCTCCTCCCCCGGCCCCTCCCACCCCAGCCTCTCAAGTTCCTCTCTGCCTTACAGCTCTCTCTTTCTCCCGTTTCTTCCCCCTCCACCCCATCCCTTCCTCCCCTTCCAGTGGGAGGCGTCCAGGAACACGCACACGCACACACACATGCACACACACACACACACACACTTGCACACATGCTCTTGAGCCCAGCACTCTCCCGCGGTCTCCCACGCTGACCAAGCCTGGTGCAGCGCATAGAGATGGGGCAGGGCTGGCCAGAGGGCTGGGTGTCGAGGCTCATGGGGGCAGTAGGGGAGGGGTTCCAGCCTCTCCCAGCCCCCTCAGCCCTGCACTCAGAGCTGGGGGCCGGGGATGGGGTGGTGGGGCGGAGGTTCCTGATCTGTTTCCTCCCTCTGTGCAGCTGTGGGCTTCCCAGCCCTCCGTCGGCGGGTCAAGTCATTGGGCCCATTCAGCAGAATTATAAATAGCAGCATGTGCCCAGACTGGCCCACAGAGCAGCCCCGGCTGCCACAGGGCCCCCCGGGACCCCGTCCTCCGCCCTCCAGCCATCCCTCTGAGGCCAGGCCTGCCCCTCCCGTGCGATGCCAGCGGGTCCCCAGGTCAGTATCCCATGTGCTGTCGCCATGGCAACCCGCCTGTCTCCATCCAGCCCGGGCTCAGGTTGCTGGAGGTGGGGGGTGTGGGCCACCGAAAAAAGAATCGAAGGCCACAGCTCAGTGCTGGGGCTTGCTGGCTCTCTTGGGGGCTGGGAAATGGGGCCCTCTCCCCCAGAAATCTCACACTGCTGGGGAGGGGTGGGACAGAGATGGCTGGGGGTGGGAGACCTGGCAGCGGGGTGCTGCCAGTGAACTGGGCAAAGTGGGTCAGCCAGGGCCTTAAAGCCAGAGAGATGTGGGTTCAAATCCTGCATGTCCACCTACTACTTGGGTCACCTGGGGACCATCACTTCATCCTCTGTGTTCAGCATCCTCAGAGTTGGCTCAGGAGGAGTATTACGCCTCTCTCTCCGGGGTCTGCTGAAGAGATCAGAGACCAGCTGGAGGCGGGCCCCTCAGTCCTTCCTCATCCTCTCCTTAGTCCTCCTTAGCACCAGTGGGAGCAAAGCCTGCCGACTTCAGAGTCACTCTGACCGGCCTCTGTCATTCACCAGCTTGATGGTTTCCAGTAGGCTGCACAGCCTCTCTGAGCCTTGTTTTCTCCATCTGCAAAATGGGCAGGAAAACAAGCATCTGCCCCTCCCTGTTGTGTTGAGGTCGAGCTGGGCTGCAGTGGGGGAAGTCACTGGCACGGTGCCAGGCCCACAGCCCGCGCCCCACATACGGCAGCTGCATTTGCCGTCACTTTCTGAATTGTTACTTGTCTTCCAGCCTTTCTCAGTGAGATGATCCTACCTTCTTCACTAACTCACTGGTAACTTCAGGCAACTCTCTTTCCCTCCCAGGGCTCCGTCTCTCCATCCACAGAATGGCCAAAGGACCACCCCGGCCCTGCCCAGGTCTGAGATTTGTGTATTTCAAGTGGCCCCACTGGGCTGGGCCATATCTATTATTATTAACTGACGCCCTCACCCGAGCCCTGTCCTCAGCCCCCGAAACCTAAGCTGCCTAGTTGCCTGGCAACCAAGGCACAAGCCGGGGAGGCTTGGGTGTCAGGGTGTCCAGCTGCAGCCCCCTCCCTGAGGGACTGGAGCCCCGTCACTGTGGTCACTGTGTGGCCGGGAAGCAGGAGGACTCAGGGCCAGGACCTTGGGCCAGGGCAGTCTGGGAGGGGCCTCCCGTTCCTCTCATACCTGCTCGGGGCCAGTCTGTCTCAGAGCCCACTCTTCTCAGGGTAAAAGGGGCCATGGGCTTGGGATATTTTTATAGGCGGGGCACATGGTCAGACTCAGAGAGGGAGAAATCGGAGCTTCCTTGCACTGCTAACTGATACAGTGGCTGTCACTGTCACCCTCTTCTTGGAAGCCTGCAGCCCAAGTTTGCCCAAAAGCACAGTTGATTCCCTGACCTACTCCTAGCCCCGCCCTCGGGAGGCCTGATGCTGCTTCCTGGAGCTGTGAGGGCACTTTGCACGGTCACATTTAACCAGTCACATTGCCTGTCTGCCGTCCAGGCCTCCCACATGACCTCCCCTGTGTCTTCATTCATTCATTCACCCACCAAACATTTTACTGAGCTTGCATCCCAGCTCTACTGTGTGTTGCCCAAGTGACCGTGGGCAAGTTACTTTACCTCTCTTTGCTTCATTTTTCTTTTCTGCAAAATGGGATAATGAGAATACCTGC